TTGAAATGGAAAGGAGGGCCCAGATATGGAAGATATTTTTAAGACATTAATGTACTGGCTTTGGTGATTATTTGTGGGAAATGTAAGAATCAGAGAAGTGAAATATAATCTGAGGTTTCCAAAATGAGTAATAGAATGTTTTGTATGTACGTAATAAGAGTTTGTTGAATTAACTGGAGTAGTAAGAGTAATTTTCTAGTGTTTTCCTCTAAAGATGAAATTACGACAGAATTTCACATTCTGAGGCATAAGAGAGAGACTGTGGGTCTGATGATACTCAGTGCCCTGGCACACAGTAGGTTTATTTCACCAATAAGCTCTCTTACAGTAGATGTTACGAATTGAGTCAGCTCATGAAGCCTACCTACTCTTTAGCGGAATTGAGGCTATAATCGCTCCAACTAAGAAAAGAAAGGACCTGCAGATGAATGTAAATGGCTTTGTAGACTGAGCTGTGCATTACAAGTTGCCTTATTTCTCAGAAAGATATTTTAGAGAGATATAGTTTTCATTAGTTACAAAATTACAAAAGCATTTTTTTATTAACATATGTATTATTCGCCCCAGGTGTACAGGTCTATGATTCATCAGTCTTACACAACTCAGTGCTCACCATAGCACATAACCTCCCCAATGTCCATCACCCAGCCACCCATCCCCCCCAAAAAGCATTGTTTTCTTAGTGACACATTGTCCAAAATAATACCAATTGTCCATAAGGAGAAAAAATATATAGTAAGAAGCTCAGACTGTAGTTAAAAAACCAAAAAAGATTGTAGTAGGAGTATGAAGTCTAAGGTAATGAAAGCTTAAACTGTGAGAGTTCATGTAGGCATTTATTCCAAATTTTCTATTTCTTTTATTGTTTTTTGTGTGACTGAGTTCAGTCTATTCAATGGCTAGAAAGGTTCTTTAGTAAAGGAGACTTGTTACTTAATGAGTCATTACTGAAATTGTAATGTGTAGGTAGACACAATCTTGCTATTTAAGCAGCTCTGCTAGAGTGGCCTGTAATTCGTTGTGATGCTACAGAGAACACTTGGCTAAAAGTCAGAAGATCAGCCCTTCCCTATTACCACCTACCTGTCTGTGACCAAATCCCTGAAACTCTCTAAGACTCCAATTCCTCTTCTGTAAAATGGAAATAATAATGACTTATCAGTATACTCCAAAGGACTGTTGAGAAGTTTGGAAGAGATCATCCTTGGGCAAATTCTTTATGTCTGTAAGGTTCTGCTGATTTGCTGTGTGATTACTATGGAACAGGTAATGGAGGTGGAATGGCTGAAGGACCTAGGGAAGCAATCCCACAGTGCTGTTAATGAGAGCACTGTGGGCTGGGGCACTGTAATGTGCTAGTGCCCTGTCTTTCCCTGGTTGCATGGGCAAGCTAGGGCGTTACAGGATGTCAGCCCCTTGGACTTTGCTAGTTCCATGCTATATCCCAAGATATTATAGCAGCAACTTACTTCTAGGCAGCTGAGCAGCTTCCTGTCAGAACTGATCTTTTTGAAGCAAGACTCCTAGTTTCCTATTTTGGATTTGTGTAGCTCAAAGAATAGCTTCAGGAACCAAAATAACCATTCTTGGATCTCAATAGGTAAAAGATTCATAGCAGCAATTTTGCTCTTGCTGTGCTTGTGTTTATCTCCTTAAATGTTCATGTATATATTTTTACAGCATGGACAAATTAATGTGCAAATTAATTGAAACTATTAATTGAAAGCAAGTATCTGCTTGGATAATTTGTACTCACAATCAGCATTACTTGCTTTTTTCTTCTTTTTTTCATTTATCTACTCACTTGAAGGCCAGTTGCCTATTATTTCCACACCAGGCTTATTGTAAGAATGGCTAAAGTACTACGGGAAAATTTCCCCATTCTAAGAAAATAGTCTTTTTCTCTGTGGCTCATTTGGATAAAGAAGTATGGCAAGATTTAAGAATAAATAGCCCATTCTCATTGACAGATTTTCTCCCACTGACCCCTCTTACTTTTCTAAGCAGCTTAAAAACTGTCCTAATTTGTGTAGAATTCTGTATCAGTTTTGTCCCTAAAAGGTGTGAACAAGGCTGTTAATCTGTTGATTTTGTTGGCCAGGAGGGAAGAGAAGTTTCTTTTTTTTAAAAAAGGTTTTATTTATTTATTTGACAGAGATCACAAGTAGGCAGAGAGGCAGGCAGAGAGAAAGGGGGGGGGGGAGAAGCAGACTCCCTGATGAGCAGAGAGCCTGAAGAGGGGCTCGATCCCAGGACCCTGGGATCATGACTTGAGTCAAAGGCAGAGGCTTTAACCCACTGAGCCACCCAGCTGCCCCAGAAGAGAAGTTTCTTTAGTTGATGATGTGCGTGTGTGTGCATACACACATTTACACTCACACGATGCATGTATGTATAAAGGATGGATACTCCTGAAACATTTTAGGAGAGATTTTTAAATGACCATAGTTCAGTTACACAGCTACTATAGTCATCATGATAATTTTGGTTTAATGTGGCTCATCGGGAATGGAGATGCAGTAAGTGGAAACTAGTATGTATCAACATAGAAATGCATATTAATTTTCTTTTTACAGTATTCAGATAACAAGACTTTCATAATATTAGAAGAGTATGTCATGATTAGGCAGTTATTAACATGGCTGAATGGCAGAGAGAGTAGTTTACATTTTAAATATTTAATGCTATTTGGGAAGCCAAATTCATATTTCCATCAGAGATGCATTTTGCAAGTCAGGTCTAGCTCTGTGAAGGCAAAACCCAACAATTATGTAACTAGCCATGAATCAGCATGTCATGGACATTTGTTACGTATGTTTGGGGAAATAAATGGCAGGTGTGTGGAAAAGAAATATCTTTTTCATTTTATTTTATTTAAAGATTTTATTTATTTATTTGAGAGAGACAGTGAGAGAGAACATGAGAGGGAAGAAGGTCAGAAGCAGAAGCAAACTCCCTGTGGAGCCAGGATCCCAGTGCAGGACTCGATCCCGGGAAACTGGGATCATGACCTGAGCCGAAGGCAGTTGCCCAACCAACTGAGCCACCCAGGCGCCCTTAGATTGGTGGATAAGTAGCAAAACTTTGGCTTTACTCTTATCACAATTGAACTTTTGGAGATTGTTGGTTAAATTGAGTTGTATTTGTACATAAACAAGTATTAGTTGAACACAGTGACATTATAGATTAAGACTTTTATAAACACAGACTAACTCAGCCCCTGATGGAAGATACCGTTCAGTACTACTTCACTTTCCTACTCTTAAGGTTTCCTATCTCTTTTTGTTATTCTTAAAATTAAACTGTACATGGAGAATCAAGAGGGTATCAAGAACATTTATGAAATATGTCAGACTGCAGTGTAAAAAAGTAAAAATGTCAAAATCTTCAAAGTCCACATTCATTAATTTTAAAGTCTATAAATTCAGATCTCACTCAATTTCAATTTTGGTTTTGCTTTATTACCTTTTAATTATGAAGTAGATGATATCTAATTTTTCTCACCCATAAAGGGAGGGGAGAGTTACTAGTCTCTATTAACATGGTTGACATGAAAATGATATTAAAATGGCAATGTGTCTACAAGTACTCTGTGACTCTAAAGAACTATACACATGAGTGTTATTAATAACTTTAAAATATGATATTGACATCTTTTCATTTCAAAGCCAGTGTCACTATGCTTCTGCTGATACAGAAATCAAGAGAGTTTTCTGCTTTTCATTTTTCATCTTTTTTTTTTTTGGTAGAAATATTGGTTTTTCATCAACATGGAAATTCAGATTCTTAAAATAATGCTGATCAGTGTAATTAGGTGCAAGGAAGTATAAAACAAGCACATCACTGTCATTTTTGAAGGAGACTTATAAAAGTATACATTTTATTGTTACTAAATTTGAATATTTTTCCGGGACCAAAGATAAGATGAGAAATAGCTTGCTTAGCTGATGACTCTTGCTTAACTGTTTTAGTTACTAGCCTATTTCTATGTAGAGACCACTCGAAGTATGATAGGTGTTCATGGTGATGTTATATAGTTCTTCAAAGGAAGTATGTATTTATATCCTGCTTTATACATTTAGGCAAAAATAGTAATAACACTTTCAAAATACTGATGGGAAATTAAGTCCCAATAAATATGTTGTCCTCAAGAGAAAGAAGTACAATTCTCAGTCTTACAGCATTCTTTCTATAAAAATAGTGCAATTGGGATATACTATTTTAGTAAGAAACTCATTAAGTACAATTTTAAAGGCTTCTTCTTCCTCTTCTTTTTTTAAACTTTGACATTCCAGTAAACTGTGAGGAAAATGTCCTTCCATTTGCTTTTCCTTTGCTGAAGTGTCTAGAAGTGAGACTACATTCAAATTAAAAGCAGAAAGTCCCTTAAATTCCTTCCAAGAAGTCCATCCTGTAAGTGCCACTCCTAGAAGGACTATGGCTGTTACTACTTCTGGCTGGAATGAGATTACAAAAGATTTCAAGAAGAAATGGAAATTATAATAGGGAGTTTCTCTCACTCTTATAGTTCATGACCTACTTGTTCCTTATTTTGGTCCATTACATTCTTTTCACTAAGAACTCCTGTCCCTAGAAGGAAATCTTTGACAGTGATACTTAATCATACTGTGCAATGAGACACTTACATCCAAATTCCAAAAGATATTTTTAATTTGTATAGTAATGATAACAGCAAACAAATTCAAGTGAATAGTATACAGGAAACTAATTATAATTTTGGGAAGTGTTTTCTTCCTCACAGATTCCTTGCACGCCTATCATATTCCTTGATATTCTTGGTATTTCTGTGTTTTAAAGCATGACTGGTCAATTTGCTTTTTTATGGATGAAGACGTAAGACCCCGGAGAGGTTAGTATGACTGCCTCAAAGACCCACGGCCCCCCTGGGGCTGAGCTGAGATGCAAAGCCAGTTCTCTGTCTTCCTGTGTGGCTTGACATAACCTGTATCATACATATCTAATTTTTTTGTCCATTTTAGGTTTCTCCTCTGCCAACCCCTCCCGGACCAACACTGACTGCTGAAGGAAGGTTGTGAGTCTGCAGCCCGTCTTGTTCGTTCTTCTCCGAAGTCCCATGATGAGCTCGCCAGTGCAGCCTGGTCAGTCTGGTTCCTTCTTAAACTATTAACAGAATTTATATGAAAGACATTGCTTTGTGTTGCTTCAAAGCAAGCAATTTAAGTCATGAAAGGACTTTTTTTCCTGACAAAGATTGGTTAATATGATGAATTCTGAATTTTGTATTCCATAGCTAATCCTCTGTTACATAACCCGGTTTGCTTTCCAGGCACTAATTTCATTTGCATCGTTATCTGAGCACCAGGCTTTAATCCTTCTGCTCCTAATGTAGCATTGGATTGGATTTTGTGACGTTATTAATATTTATTAAATATGATGTAGGCATCTAATTCACACCCATAGTCTTTCTGACCTAATACATGTCTGTATGCTTTTAAATTGTGCTGTGGGCCTTGGAAAGCAGCTTGTGGATTTATACCTTCTCCATCTTTTTGACGCACAGGAAGGATATTTCTCCTCCCTGGCCTTCTTTGCCACCACTCCTGTTTCCTATATATGTATTTAATTATAATCTCGACACCTGCTTCCTCTGAGTCTAGTGTAATATGTGGCTCATTTAGTGTTGTGATTAGCAGAGCCAACACCCATTCCTGCAGGAACAGGGTGTCACTTTTGGAGCAAACATAATTCAGGTCTCAGAATGACGGAGTAGGGTTGGATATCACGAGTTAATCGTGGATAAATTTTAAAAAGAATTTTCTGCTTGGATCATTATAGGATAATTTACTTCTATTTCTATTTTTTTTTCTTTAAAAAAAATAACCCTTTTGGTATGTTGATATCCTTGGGTTATCCAACTCCCGAGGTTGAAACTGGTATAATATTATATTCAGGATTTAGAAAAGGAAATCTTTTGCTAAGATTTTTGACCCATGGAGTGCCACTCCCAGATATGTTGCTCTGATATTCCACTGTCTCATCAACCTTTCCTCACATCCTCAACGGGCTGCCTGCCAGCTTGTAGGTTGAATATGGAACTGGAAATTATTGTAGGACAGAATTGTGACTGTTGATTCCAAGTGACATAGTAAAGATATTCCAGAGTTTTTAGTGAAAGTCACTATTTATAATTGGCATTGTAACCTGAGTAAACAGATGAAGAGTTGCCTAGGCTGTTTGTCTCTGAGTCCCCGTAGCCCAGTGGTTCTCAAACTTCAGTACGCATTAACATCACTGGGAGAGCTTGATAAAAATTAGCCACATCCCCGTAGTTTTTGATTCAGAATGTCTAGGGTGGGGCCCTAGAATTTCATGTTTTACAGGTTGTCCCGAGTGATGTTATTTGCGTGGAGACTATACTTCGGGAACCACTGGTCTAGCCTGCTATATTTGTTCCTTCCCCTGCTGCTCTCTGCCCCACCTGCACCCCATAGACAGCCCTGTGGGGGAGCTACATTGCTTATCACAATTGTAGCATACTATTATTACCCTTTCTATTAAGATTAACGTAAAATCTAAATCTGTTAAATCTATTAACTTAAAATGTTTGCATTTTATATTTGTATATATTACATTTTAAATATAAATTTATTTTAAATGTAATGTTTCAAAATGGCATAATTTTAAAAAGTCATTTAATTTAGAACCATTGTAGTCAAAAAAATTTTTTTCCCTTTTCTTGTGATGGAATGTGTTGAAAAACCATACGAAAATCAGTAGGAACAAATTGGCTAAGTACAGAAGTGGCAGAAAACTTCCTTCACTTCTGGAAATTATGATCTAGAATTTATATAGGGGTTTGTCTTTAATTCTCCAGACCAGAAAATAGACTTTTTACATATTTAAAAGAAAGGTGTCATGTCCCTTTATTCTCCACCCACCTCTATCATATCCTCCCCATATTGTTGGTTTACCTCCCATACTGACCTCCCAGAAGAGTGATGAGGCAGACTGAATGATGAGCATTTTTTCTTTTTTTAAAGGAAAAAAAACCTCACTTTTAAAGAGTGCAAGTGTAGCAATTTCAGTGTCTGTGTAGTTTTTATTTACCATTTGTCTAACACCTTTACACTTGGCCCCACTTGTCTGTAATGAGAAACACATAATCCCATTAATGACATTATTGTAGTGGTTAGATTCCCAATTTAGGCCATCAAAGCCTATCTAAAAGTAGCTAGCTTGCAGTGAATACAGGAATATTTTGACAACCGTAATTAAAGAAGAGAATCAGTACTATGTAATAAATATTTTAAAATGTTACATGCTTAAAGAAAAGTGAACCCAAGAGCAGGAAGATGAACAGAGGAGAGAAATATTTATACTTAATGTGAGCTTTGGGTACCTTAGAGGATTTCTCAGGTAGGTCCATATCACATCGAATTTCATTCTAAAAGTTGTGTTTTTTTGGAATGTTGGTGTAAGGGTGATACTTTTAGATACTTTTACTTCTAGTTTTCTTGTCTGATGTGTGGAGAAGGGTGAGATTTTTGTTGCTGTTGAGATAACTGCTGAAAAGGTAAAGCATACTGGGAAAGAAAGCTCCGGGCATGGTGTGGGTATGTAAGGGGCCAATGGCCGGAAGTAACATTACTGAACATTGTGCGGTAAAAGAGAGAAGGAAAACAGAGCGTGATCGTACCTAACCCCCCCTGAGGGAGAAGAAACAGACATGATTAAAGGGGATTTGAAGTTAAATAAAAGTCTTACTGTCTACCCAGCATAGATTGTTGTGTAGAAAGTGGACATGAATCCTTGCTTCAAGGTGCATATGGAGGAGGAGGGAATAGGATGTATAGCTCAAATTTTTATATTCAGGATGATAACTTGTAGCATTTTTTTTTTTTTTTTAACTCAGAGCTTCTATATATATAAAGGTATTGTAGTATGTAAGATGGATAAATACTTTGGACTCTTTAAAAAAACATAAAGCAAAATAATACCAAATACTTAGATTAATTCTGTATATACCTGATACTGACTCACAACTGGTAAAATTTGACAGTTGAAATCAGCACTCCCTTCAAGAATATTGATCTTATAATATGAAAATACCCTTTGAGGCTGCTGTTTAAATCAGGAAGTTCTTGCCAGCCGTGATATTTGTTCAGTTAGGAGAAGGGAAAAAGTGGGTGATAAATGAGACAACTACTGAGTGAAGTTCACTGGACATTAGACTCACTAAAGTTTCCCTGTGTACTTTTTAAAAAATATTCTGCTCTATTGAGAGCAGCATACAGAGGTCTTAATTCTGTTTAGGAAGTTTTTATGAATGAAGTACGAATTGAGGAGTGTCATAGCAAATGGGCCAGGTGGGTGGGAATCTTTTCTATTTATTACAAATGCAAACTATGATCGAGACCTGAAATGCACTTTGCATATGTAAAAGAAAATGTTCTGGCCATAAACATGAAAACATTGTTCTGCTATTATTAGCCTGTCTCTTATGGTGCCATATATATTCTACTGCTGAGAAATAACCTAATCGTTTGATTTAGAAAAAGTGTTTTTCTTACATATCCTTAAAAAAAGAAAAGAAAAGAAAAGCTATTTAAAAAGAGACTTAAATTGCCCCGAGGCAATCACCATCCATTTGTTTTGCTTTTGTTCTGCAAAGGGCTCTAAGGAGTTATTGTGCGCCAGAAAAATAGACTCACTCCAGTTATTACAGAAATTCTTTAATAGTCAGTGCTTTGGACAGAGTATTTATGTTTGTCTTGAAAATTGGTTCGGGGATCGTGTGAATTCTTGTTTTCCCCATAAAACTTCGCCATCCCTGTTCAATTATAGTGGATATCAAGTACTAAATATTGCCGTCTTGATCATGTATTCAGTCAAACAATGAGTGCTGATTTTTGAATATAGAATTCACTGGCTTTTATTTTAATCTTGGTGCCTCAATAATGTTCTAAGTTAGAGCACTGGGTGTTGCTTTTTGGGCACTGAAGAGCCTGAATGGAGGGAAGACTGTCTGGATGAGACTGGCAGCTAGCTGCGGCAGTTGCGACAGTCAGTCATTCAAAGCTCATTAAGCATTTGTGCCAGGCTCTGTGTTAGTACGGACGCAAAGAGTACTAAATCTTGGTCTGCCCTTGTGGACAGTACTCTTTAGTGGGAGACACAGACAAGTAAGTAGTCTTGGTCCTTCACTGTATTATTTTAATAAATATAGGAACAGAAATTAATTTCTTCTGTATGGCAGTGTGGATGACATTTCTAATAATTTAATTTTTATCAGGATTGCCAAATCCCAGAAGGAATGATTTTAGGGCTCATCTAATCTAGGGTTTTCCAAACATGTCGGATAATAAATATCACATGGGGCTCTTGTTTTAAATACAGATTCTCAGACTCCTCCCCTAAAGACTATTATGCTGTTGATTTGGGTGGAGGGTACTAGATAACAGATTGCATAATGCTCTTCACTGTGACTTGGCAAAGTGTGGAAGTGTTTTTTAACCTGTCTAACAAACACTACAATTTCTCACTTGGAGACTCTAGAAAAACCAAAAATACATCATTAAATACTATCTCAATGTAGAAATACATATTTCTCCTGTGAGCTAATGTATAACTCAGTGATTTTGCTTTCTGCTAAGTGAAAAGCTAGTGCTATTGAAAACTCTAGGAGGTAATAATTTGTGGGGAAATTCTCTTGCCTTTACATGTATTCTCTGCTGTCTAGGCCATCCTGGTTTTTTTTTCGTTTTTTTAAAAAGATTTTTTATTTATTTATTTGACAGAGAGAAAGATTGCAAGTAGGCAGAGAGGCAGGCAGAGAGAGAGGGGAGGAAGCAGGCTCCCTGCGGAGCAGAGAGCCCGATGTGGGGCTCGATCCCAAGACCCTGGGACCATGACCTGAGCTGAAGGCAGAGGCTTTAACCCACTGAGCCACCCAGGTGCCCCAAGGCCATCCTGTTTTTATGTGGAGGTGGTCCAAAGACATAGATAGAGGACATCCCCCACCCCAAGTCAAAACTGATTTCCATCTATTTTAACCTAGATCAGATTTTTAGTATGATCCCAAGAATATAGAAAACATGACTTAAGCCTGGACATTTTTAAGAGTGAATAAATAAAGGCT